TGTTTGATGTTGTGTTTTCAGCGTCTTCTGTTGAATGGACAGCACCTCCTCCTCAGTGGACTCAGACGAACCCAAATGATATTAGAACAGTTAACATGTCAGTGTTGAAAGGAAGTACTCAGGTGGCTCTGAGGTGGGATTACACTCTGTCACCAGGTTCAGATCTGCGAAACACCCAATTTTCCATTGATGATGGCATCATCGATAATATTGGAAATATTTTTCACTCTGATGGTAAAATAACAGTATTTGACAGAAATGATTACACAACACGTTTCAACATCAGTAGAAGTGAAGTGGCCACCTTGATAATAAACCAAGTCACTGAAAGAGAAGAAGCAGTTTACCAATGCCAGCTTGAAACAGTGACAAACACATGGAGATACAGAACACGTGTCATTGTTACAGGTGAGAATTGAGAATTGAGATTTTCGATCTAAATTACCATTCTCCTTCGGTAAACTTGCTGGGCTTCGCGATGAGATTTGCGAGCTTAACTTCCCACTTAGCAGACGTTTGCCTGAAAAATGGCTGTGGTATTTGCGACGTTTGCATGAAAAAGAGCTATGAAATTTGCGACCTTAAATTTCCACTCGGCCAGCGATGTAGGAAAGAGATGGTTAGGGTAACTATTGAGCATGCTCTTGGCGAAGTCTCGGAGGCGACCTGAAGTGATCCTTCGCGAAACAAACACAAAGAACACGTGGTCCCGGGGGATACGGGGTAATTTGCATATGTGTCTACGAAGGGAAAAAAAAAGAAACTCGACTCAAACTTCAGATATAAGACCCTTTTTAAACGTTTCCTCCACTGGACTCTTTGTTTTGAAATAGTTACATGTATTGCAAAAAGCTCGACCGATTGTGTGACAGAAAGTCACGCCAACGTTTTATTAAATCAGGAGCCATAATCGGAGACGCCGGTCCCCGATTATGGCTCCTGACCAAATTAGACTTTATGTTATGGCGTGATAGCGTGACAAAGCAAATACACGACAATAATTCGACCGGGGCCACGATCTCAGGGTCATGTAGCAGCTATGTATGAGAATGTCTGTGTGTACGGGAATTCGATGGCGAATAACTTTTTTCAATGTTGAATTTTACACAATTTGTGAATCGCAACGTTAAAATACTAGGTAGAAGATGGTATTCACCAAGTTTGACGGATGTAGCTTGGTAAGAAGACGCTCAATGAATTTTTCTAATTTTCCATACATTTGTCTGTAATTTTTTTCGCCCAAACCGCGTCTATCCAGCCAAATTTACAGGCAAATGTATGGAAAATTAGAAAAATTCACTGAGTCTACCCGTTAAGATGGCGTCGAAAACCGTGATAAGGTCTATTGAACTTTTATCGGTAAATGCACAACTTAGCTGTCAGTTTTCAGCGTTCATTGTGACGCTGCACGTTGCTAATTCACCCGATGGGCTAAACGCGTGAAATGTTAAGGGACATTTAACCAAATCGGGGAGGAACATGTACACTAAGCGGCGGAAATCGAGCCTACCGCAAAGAGTAAAAAACCCTCAAAAAAACCGTGCCACTAAATAAAAGATACTACCCTCGACCCTCGACTCTCGACCCTCGACCCTCGACCCCCGACCCCCGACCCTCGACCCTCGACAAAAAGATAGACGCAAGTTCCTACAATGCTTGTTTACAAAATATCGCTGTGTCTGACGTCATTGCTCAGTCTGTAGTGTAGTTTACAGTATTTTGTACGCCTAGATACCAGCCAATCAAAATCGTCAACTCAGATGACTAGCATTCGTATTGCTCCAGCATGACTGCTCAGGTCATCAACAAACTGAAATTATTTAGCTTCAAGCTCGTGCTGTGATTAGATAAAATTCTCTGATTGCCTCTTGTTCTCGTTAATTGCACTGTAAGCCGTGCGTAGGCTTGGCTTTTTTTTTTT